CACCCCCCCCCCCCCCCCTGCCGGGGAACCCACGGGCGCGACCTCCCAGGTTCCCGCATGCAGCATATATCAAACTAAGATGTATTCCATGGTCAAATTCGTATTTTCACCACCACCGTCGAGCACAGTTCAACTTAGGGTAGGGTGTAGGATCCACCACGGTGCAGCTGTGTTGCTTAACCCTACCGCCGTCCTGTCCCCTTGAACATGTGAACCATTATCTTAACGGAAAGTTTTTTTTGTTTCGGCCCCGTTCTGTACGATCAGTGAGCACGGGTGACGCGAATGGATGAACAAACCTGAACGCTTTCCACGTAACGCTCATGATTCTCAATGTAGCCCCAATAGACTATATCTCAAGGTTCCGCCGATCGTTGGGCGTGTCGTCCGACTTCCATTTTGCGATATGTAGCCGTCCAAGGCAAATCCGTTGGCAAACAAACCTCAACCTTCCCACCGCACCGGCGAGATCTGACCTGTTTCTGGCGAAACGTCATACGAGGTTTTGGAGGCCCCCATGAAAACGCTGTTTCGGACATCGCGCGCCCCGCGTGGCGGCTCTGCGTGCTTCGCGCCTGTAGGGGGCGCGGATTTTGTGCGAGAAGCAGAGAGACGACGTGGCACGTCGACTAGAGGTCGCGCAAGGGTCGTTGACTTCTGCCGAGCAGAGAGAGCTCGAGACGGCGGAGCAGCTGCGGCAGACGCAGGAGGATCTCGCCTCGAAAGCGGAGGAGAATGGCATAATGCAAGAAAGGTGTGACTTGACACACCACAAGGCTCCCCAAGTGGTGTTAACAAAGAGAGCAAGCAAGCAAGAATTAACCCTAAAGGAGGAAACTGAATACCAAGGGTTCGTGGAACCACGGTGTGGTAGGTCGCCTAGCCGTGCGTCGTTGACGAAAGGAGGGGGGCATGGGGGTGAGGGGGATTCCCCAACGGCCCGAAAACTGTTTGCGATTCTTTCACCTGCGGGTCTTTGACGCTCCGAATCACGTTAGACACCAAAACTGCTTTCGGCAATCTCCTTGCCGTGGAGCTCCTGACGTCGTGATGTACGTCCAGCTGCGAAACGGAAAATAAGTCGTTTGATGTGGACTAGAACAAACTTCCTGCTTCTTTACCAATTCAGGTAGCACTTGCACTCACGATAGCTGCCAACAGTTTATGCCTAGGACTACAATACCCCATTCTTCTTTTGGATGTGTGATGTCTCTTCGCCTCGAACCTAACGCTCCCGGGGGGCGGCGGCTGTGGGGACAGGTTGGACAATCAGGAGATGGAGCTCCGAGACTATTCCAACCTTCGGAAGGAGTTCAACACCTTGAGTCTGAAAAACAAGGACTTGATGTACCGCGTGGCGACGGTCAACGGCCTCCTTGAGGTGGGAGCTGCTATCATCACGTCACATTATACTTCATTCTACCGAATGTTGCGTACAATCCCCCCACATGAAGGGAAACGATTGCAGTCACAGGCGGTGTGTGGCGGGCCCCGGTGTCATCTCGACTTGCGGTAGTCTCATACAGCGCAATAGCGAAGACGGTGGTCGGAGATGTGAAAGTTTCATAATTGCCCGCTGGCATGTACCCGGATGGATACAAAGAAGTCCGCGCAGCGTAAGATCGTTTCGAACATATTTTGTTCGTTGGTCTTGAAAGCTTAGAACGTTTGCTTGGAAGGGTCGTGGTGGAACACCATCAACACGGCACTCTGATTCTTAACACTAAAATGATAGACTAAAACAGGAAGGATTTTGACCGAGTAGCTTGTTGAATTGGTTGGATGCAGCGTTGTGTGCACATCCGAGGGCTTCTTCGCCTTCATGATATTGTGGCCCCTTTTAACGTCGGATGGTGACTGCTACAGGGGCTGAAGGAAAAAGCGGTCAGGCTAGGCATGGGCACGGAGCTGGGAATCTGCTGAAGGATAGAGAGAGACACGGACGGGGGGTGGAGACTTCACACGGTGTCGCCGCTCGTACGGTATCGTCGGTATCGTTGCCCTCGGCGGCATCTTTATCGTGGCCCCGTTCGGCCAGTGAACTGGGCTCTAGACCACCGAGTAGGCGTCGCGTGTATACATCCTGGGTAGGGCGTGTTTGGTGGGAGTCTACTGTAGTCGGAGGCATTACGGCCCGCCACCCCCATCAAAAGCAGCCTGCATGCAGCTGACGTTGAAAGTCTGTCGACGAGAATAGACACACCTCTCACCGCCCTCAAACTTATCTATTATTTGCACTCGCTGGTAACATCGCGTCCGCTCTTATGGATTCGAATCATCCATCGAGTTGCGCCCGCTGGTACCATTTGCGTCCACTCGCCAAGGTAGAACAGTCAGTACGGAGAAAGAGGTACTGGACAGAGAGATGGAACGGTTTTTAATGTGAAGACAACAAATCGTGGACTCGAGGCATCCACCCACAGACTACTTTCGTTTACCCGGTGTCTACATGCTTGAAGGCAAACGCCGCATCGCATCTGCTGCCATATTCCTTCCGCACGTGTGGGGGCGGCGGGAGGGGCGTCGCACGAAACGGCAAGTGACTTCAGCCTAATATTAGCCGTAACGATGCTTCGCGCGACCAACGTAACCAGCACCTCACGAACTTTTTGCGCCACATTAAACTCCGTACTCCCTGAGCAGAGCGTGGTACAGGCGATGAGGTGCCCCATTGCAGACAATCCATACGAGTACGTTGGAGTTCGCTCTACATCTTATTCTCTTCGGGTGTCATTCCTGTGTTTCGAAGACTTTCGCGCATGTACCCTTGGGTATTGGAGCCCTACATAACGGAGATAGTATCAAAAGCGCTTGAGATCTGGTTCTTGGCGAAATAAATCTGTGCAACAAGGAGCTGATAAGCCTCGTCTCCTGTAGTGGCGAAGCAGACAGAGAAAACGCGGTTCTGCCGCCGTTGCTTCGACTCGTAAACACGAGCAAAACAAGGATACGTGCACGAGGTTGAAATATGTTCTCCACACAGAGATGCAAACGCGAACGAAAATATCACGCAACACACAACTTCGTAGGCACGAACGCTCCGAACAGAGTACACGGCAAAACACTGCCGTACCAGCCAATAATTCGCTCTAGTTAGTATCCGGACTGGGATAACACCCAGCTTGTCGCAATCGACACATGTATGCCTCGCGAACGTGAGCAGCATTCTTGATCAAGGGTACCACCCTACTGCCCTATGCAAGCACCCGAGGAAGCATCCCTCGAAATAAAAAAAAAGATGCACATGTCGAGATACGCTCGGCGTGTAGGTCGTCACAGAGAACGAAAAACGTGCTAGAAAGAAGGCCCGCTCCGTTGCTCTACCGGCCCCCGCCCCCCAGGATGTCTCCCATACCCCCCCCCCACCGGCTTCTTGTACGGTGCCGGCCTCGCTTCCTCCGAACTACACCATCTCCTCTCTGGACTGTCATCCATCCTCTCCGGTACGATGACGGAACCAGCATTTCCTTTCGCCCGAACACGCTACAGAATCTGTAGGCCTCCATTGGCCGGAATACGCAGAGGTTAAACGCCTCTTTCGGCACCGATACGTAGGCGGGTTACTAAGCTTTCTCTCGCCAGAATACGCACGTGGATGGCGCTTTCATTTCGCCCGAACAAATACACAGACGGGAACTTTAGGCCTCCTGCCTCTCCGGGTCGGCCTTGTTGAGCTCGTCCACTGCCTCCCACAGCCGCCACTCGGCGTACTTGTCGATGAGCTTGAGCTCGTTCTTGCCGTCCACAAGGAGCTCCTCCAGCTGCCCGTGGTTGATCTTGTCCTCTATCGTCTCCTCCTTGAGGAGGAGGTACAGCAGTATGCAGCGTTACGAGAGGCGGCGTTGGGTCGGGATGGGTGGACGGACGGCACGATGAGTGCGGTGCGTGGTTCGGTGGTTTCGGTTGTGGTCGCGGGGGGCNGGGGGGGGGGGGGGGGGGGGGGGGGGGGGGGGGGGGGGGGGGGGGGGGGGGGGGGGGGGGGGGGGGGGGGGGGGGGGGGGGGGGGGGGGGGGGGGGGTCTGAGGACGAGAAACGTCCCTGTGAAGACACTCAATGCTCGGAGCAACCAGCACGAAGATGTGACTGACGGAAATTTGGACATTTTGCTCTTCACGAGACGTGCCAGCTTCGCTTGCAACAGACACCCCCTTGCCGCCAAAGAAAAATAGATCGCCGGCATCGATAGTCCTTGACGACATGGTGGTGGAAATAAACGCAACAACAGTGACACGACGGCAACCACTTTCTTCTCTGCCGGACAATGGGACACAGGGGTTTGTGACAGCCAAGGAAGAGGACGACGTTCGTCGGTTTTAAGTAACGACAAGGTTTTGAGCAGCATTTCCGTTGCTGGCCGTGTCGTCCGGTGGTGGGCAGAACGGTAGGAGCAAGCACGCGGTGGTAGTAGGCCACACCGGGCATCACCGCATCGCGTCAAAGCATGCACGAACACCCCTGCCTGCCCACCCTTGACAAATACCACCCAACCGAAGGTTGTCAGTCCCCCCCATATACACATTCCTGCGCCCTCCTTACGGTAGGACCCTTGCCCGTTCAATAAAAGCGTGTTGGCAATTTTACTTCCCGCTATTAGACCGACGTATTTTCATTGGTCAGCCGTTTAGAGCGGTCGATGCTAATCAACAAATATACGAACACTCTGGTTTATCCTTGTGAAACGTGGCCTGGGCCGGTGAAAACCAGGCAGGTCGTCCGTCCCGGCATTGTAGAGATGGGGGAAGACAACGGTCTGACGACTACGGCATGCATTCACATGAGTACCCCCCCCCCCCCCACCCCCCCACCTTAGGCAGAGTAGGAAGGAACGATTGGCCATCGGTGATCGATCCTGTGGGAACAATGGTCCGTCCTCTCGAGGACTGACGCGTGGTCAACGGTCTAACGACTACGGCATGCATCTATATGAGTACCCCCCACACACACACACAAACACAAATATAGCTTCTTCTGCTGCTGCCGTTTCTCTCTTAATCCGGAGAATAGCTTAGCCTCCCCATGACGCCCCCTCACGTGGTCCCACATGATGGCCTTGAGAAACAGTTATTTTCTGTTTGCAGCACTTGAGACTGAAGTCTGTTCTTTGGTCAGCCGGTTAGCGCGGTCGATGCTGTTAAAAAAACACACACACATTCACAAGTTTCTCACGTCCTCGTTCTCCATTGCCACTTTGAGCCTGTACCCACTGATAGCCTCCACGTCCTTCCGGTATTGCGCGTGATCCGGGATAACCTGCACCATACCATACCATACCGCGCAACGCGAGCGGAGCGTTAGGAGGTAAGCCAACGGATCGACAAGTTCAAGCAAGGGTTTGAGCACACGTAGCGTGGAGCACCAGATCGAGGCAAGAAGCGCCTGCAAAGGGATGGGTTCCCCACTGCGGCCAAGCGGGGCGGGTCTACTGAAAGACGCCACCGTCTTACGCAGAAGACAGTCGAAATAAAGTTTTACAATTTCGTGGAACAGCAGTCCCACACAGGTGTTAGGGAGGACCCGATTCGCAGGGCATCCGTTGATTGCCTTTTATCAGAATCGATACACCTTCGCACAAGGCGTCACCCAAGGGTACTGGTTCGAATCTCCTTGGTTGCATAGTTTTCTCCTGACTAGACATTTTTTCCCTTCGGCACAAATGTGTTTCAGTCCTAAGAGCACCTCTTGGAGTCGATCCCACAAAGAATCTGTGACAGTTTCATCGAATTTCCCGCCCTGGCCACAAGAGGTTCCCTGTCGAGGGTACTTTCTGTGGGTGCAGTGTTCACGGAAGACCCGATTCGCAGGGTTTCCGTCGATTGACTGTTACCAGAATCGGTACACCTGCGCACGGGTGCCAACATACATCGCAACGGCATCGCCCGTTGCCGTCGCTAATGGGCGTCGGCTACCGTGTGCCCTTGAAATGATCGCCACCACAGCAATATCCAACAGCATCGTCGACGCCAAACTCAGTCACTACCAACCTCAGCAGTACATGTAGTCTACGCAGCAACATTGATGAAGCAAGCATATGGGATAAAGTGTTCAATCCGTGCTTTAGGGTTGGGTTAGGGTTAGGGATAGGGTCTGCGTGCCCCCTGCCTATTCTTTCTCTAGATACTCTTCAAATCCTACGTAAGCGGTCCAACCTCACTGCCAACAGCCCAGCCTCACCTTGATCTTCTCTAGGATCTGTTTTTGCAACGCGATGAAGTTGGCTCGCGCGTTGACGTCCACAGCTAATCCCACAAGCCCCGTGGAGGTCTTCTTGACCACCATTCGCACCGCTTGCGTCGCCCTAAACGCCATGCTGCTGGATCGTATCCTCAACCGTTTCTTTCTGCTGCTGACAACACGGAAGAAAAGCACACAATACAGCGCGTGGACAGCTGCGCGTGTCAAGCCTGATGCAGGAAACATTGCCCGCCGCAACATCGCCGATAGCGATTACTCGCTTATTGATACGGCAGACTTCGAATAATAGCCATGGTGCAAGACAGCACAATTTTTCGTTGCTCCTGTTCTCTACTGGTGCGGTACATATTTTAATGGTCCACGCAAGCCAGAGAGAGAGAGGATGTGTACGAGTGAGGAGGACAAGCAACAGCAGTACAAGGTATCGGGGCATCCGGCGGAAGCTCTTCGTTGATACCAACGTTCCTGATGTGGAGGCCGCCCTCTTGATTTGGTCTGACTCTCATAGGGAAATCAAACTATTCATGTAGTGGCTGCCTACGTATTTCCACGACTTGCTTGCCCGGCTTGTTCGACCTGATTGCCCTACTGCTGAATGTAGACTACTTATAGGCCATGCTCTACATGTAATGAGACTGCTGAGCTCGTGTACTGCTGCACAGAAGTACTGCCGAAGCAGGCAGCCCCGAGTTGGAACGGGGGTCCACTACGTGTTTGTACACCGTTGCTGCCCAGGGCCTATTATAGCACGTGCAATCCTTGCGTAGCAAAAACATGGACTGTTTCGCCTCCCGTGTCTAGTGGCAATGTCGGCTCCAAGGTCACTTGGCACAGACGAGTGCTGTCGCGATGACCGCCGGGTGTTGGCGATGCGATGTACAACCGAGCATGACGGCGAGCATTTTGTAGCACCTACATCACTCTGCAGACGGGGAGCAAAGCATCCCCTCACGTGCCCACTCAAAGCTCCCTTTCTCACCTTATCTCTTCCTACAAGTATCTATTGTCCGGCCCGGCCCTACGACTGCTTCAGCGTGTGCAACCCTGCTCGTTCGGAAGGGCACGCTGTGCTGCTCGTGTGCTGTGTCTAGGTAACTAGGGTAACAGCTCTGCAAGGGGCCCTCCAAATGGGTTTCCGAGCAAGGGGTTTGCGGTCGGGAAGGCTTTCGGCGTTTCGTGACGAGCGACGGTTTCACTGTTCTTCGTGGTCGAGAAGAGACAAGACCAGAGAGAGAGAGAGAGAGAGAGAGAGAGAGAGAGAGAGAGAGAGAGAGAGAGAG